CCTACGTTCATTCAGAGGATGGTTCAGGACCATATGGCACCATTCAGGACCTGCAGGGACCATATGGCACTGTCTTGTCTGCCTATTGACTGTAGGTCGCAACATGGTTAGATATGAGGCGTTTTCATTGGGTCATTGGCTCTTCGGTCCTCTGGTGCACTTAGTAGATGGAACAACACATCAAATATAATCATTGCAACCGGACTGGTACCCAGTTGGAACTTTTATTGACTGAGCGTTATCTTTCGTCCAATGTTATATATATAAAGCCCGTAGGAGACCGCGGGAGTTACGTCCGCTTGAATAGTCTCCTGCAGATCTGAGGATTTTTTCTGAAAGTTAATCCAGGGCAGGAGCTCGTCTCCAGTGTTCTGTTCTGCTCTCCATGCTTAATTTTATTTTAAAATTTTAAATCATTTTTTCCAAAACACCAATGATTGCATAAGAACTCTGATGGACAAGTGGTATAAGCAATGTACTAACTTACATTTCACAAAAAATTTAGACCAGATTTTATGACAGCAATATAACTAAGAATGCTTTAGATGTATGGAAAAAATTTAATGTTGTAAAGGGCAAAATTATTTTGTTTCCCAGTTGCTTAATGATTTCACTCCTATATATACATATGCCAGTATTGGGCTCAAACACTACTCCTGCATATACATGCAGGAGTAATGTCTACATGAGAGTGGAGTAGGTCAAACACTACTCCTGCATGTATATTTAGTTTATTAAATGAAAACTTTAGTTATCTTCCCTTTTTTTAAGTGTATTATGTAAATATAAATAAATATATATATATTCAGAAACAGGTTTGAATTAGTTCAAAATACTTCACAATACATCTTCTAGTTCCCAAACTTTTCCATGTTAGATTTTATTTCTTAGCCCCTAGTTTCTGAGGAAAAAGAAAACAGTTATGTAATCAAATTTTAATAATAACACAAAAATAAAACATGGAACTAAAAAAATATTACAAAATTTAATATTTGCATAAATTTTTCAAAACAATAATTAATAACTATTTCTATTCCTCTGTATTGGATATTTTTTTTCAAATTGTGGCACTTTATTGTTAATAGCAATTCGCATATCTGCTTGAGCATCCAAGCGATTTCTGAATTTTGTTTCGATTGACAAAAGAGCATACTTCACAAAGAATTCCTTCACATGCAGAAAGGCATCATTTCTTTTGTGATTGTTTTCATGTCTTCACAGAACCAAGACATCTTCCATTATGGCAACACTATGCTGTAGCACCCAGACAGGATAGTAGTTAATGACGCTGCCTATCATACCAAAAGGTTCGAGTTCAAATCCCAAAGAAGGCATGGATGTTGTAATGTAAGTGTGTAATGGTTGTTTAGCAAGGAGCACTAAAAGCAGAAGGTGAGGCAAAATCCTTGAGAGGTTGGTGGTAGGAGACTTTCTGACCACATTCAGAGCATTCTTCTTCAAAATTCCATTTTGGTGGAAGCTTAGTACTTAGCAAGGCCCAGCAATACCTAAAGTACCCACTTAGATATACAGGTGCTGGTTTTCCTTCAATCTGTCAGGTACTAAAACAAGCTTATTTTTGTTGCCCATCAGTTATTATGAAGGGACAAACAAACATAAGCTTGATTTAGGTAATTCTGATTATAGATGCTAAAATATACATTATGAACATAAACTCTTTAGAACAAAAACAATTTCAATAAATATCTATTTGATTTGAATATATTCAAACATCATATATACTAATATTTTCAGATTTTTTACCATACAATGTTTACAAGAGAAGGATTCGGGAGACAATTACAAATTATTATTATTTTACAAATCTCTGAAAGCTTTTTATCAGTTTCAAAATTATTTGAATGAAACTATTTTGAATTTACTTAAAAAGTCATATTTTCATCCTTTAACTGAGATGCTCACACGTATGTATTCTGACTCAACACAAATTCAAACATTAAAATAAAAATAACACCAGAAACATATATTATAAAATTTAATTCAATCTAATACATTATTACTAGATGTAAATTAAAGAGTATAAAATTCTAAAATACATATGCAAAATCTGATGTGCACATCACATTACTTATTAAATTATACAAAAACTGCAGATTTTGAAATTTAAAACACTGCTCAGTCTTTGTCACATGGGAGTCAAACTTCTCATAATTTCATTTTTTATAATGAGTATAAAAATGTCCCAGATATTTTTGCAGACATAAGGAAGCTGGAGATCGCATTAAAATAGATTTCGTTATTTGTCAAAAATAATTTTAAAAAAAAAGTTTTACATTGCAAAAACACAACTATTTTCATCATTTAAAGCATTTCAATGATAATTGGGAGTATAGACTAGGACCAATGATTGTGAAAATTAAGGCTAGGTAAAGGTGTGTGTGTGTATACATACACATTTGGTTCTGGCAATTACAATAAAAAGAGAGATGCACAACTATAGCAGTTCCGTATACAACAAACATTCTATAGCTAATCTTTTTTAGTTATGTGAGATAAATACATACACTGGTGTGCAAAAATTAAGGACGAGACGGTTTTTTCAATATAACTTTGTACAAAAGCTTTCCAAATCAACACATTTAATACCGTAAGATCCCCAATACTTAAGGACATGAGTAATATAAGCAACACTTACTAAAAGAGAAATCAGAGGGATAAAAAGAAGCTTTATTGAAAAAGTAGCATGGAGCGCAATGCGTCTGAAAGCCGAAACATCCTGTGATGGGTGTCCAGAAAGAAACATCTGGTCTTTAATAGGGGATATGATCTCCCCTGACTGCTAGGCAGGTTTCACAGCGTCTGCCCATGCTGAGAATGAGGGTGTCAATGAGTTGTTGAGGCATTGCTGCCCATTCGTCTTGCAGCGCCAATCAAAGCTCCGGAATCGTTACTGGTGGTAAGGTACGAGCTGCCAAGCATCTGCCTAGAAAATCCCATACATGCTCGATGGGATTGAGATCCGGAGATCGTGCCGGACAATCCATACGTTCAATATCCTCACTCTCTAAGAGCTGTTTGGCAGCTACTGTGCGATGACATGGTGCATTGTCGTCCATGAAAACGAACTGCGGACCCATAGCGCCTCTAAAAAGATGCACATATGGAAGAAGAATCTCGTTACAATAACGGGTCCCGTTGACTGAACCTGCGTCGAAGATGTGAAGGTCTGTACGACCACCAAGCATGATGCCTCCTCAAAAGAGAACACCGCAACCTCCATACCTGTCCCTTTCAATGATGTTCGAGGGATGATTGCGGCTTCCCCGCTCTCTCCAGATGAGTATGCGATAAGAATCGCTACTCAGACTGAATCTGCTCTCATCTGTAAAGAGTACTCGTCCCCATTCATTGTCTCTCCAATTCCGGTGTTCCTGGCACCACAGATAACGCCTTCTCCGATGGGCAGGCGTTAGAGGTACACACCATACAGGGCGTCGTGCAAACAGACCACCACCGTGCAGTATTCTGGCCACGGTAAAACGCGATATCGGTCGTTCCAGTCGCCTGTGTCGTGTGTATAGCGATTTCTCCCGCTGTCTGCCGCCTGTTTCTTCTGGCCTGTAAGGCAATATACCGGTCATCTGCGAGTGTGGTTCCTCGTGGACGACCACTACAAACCCCCCCCCCCCCGGATAGCTTTTCCTGTAGTTTGAAATTATCTCCAAAGTCGTGAAGCATTGTTGTGAGCAATTCCGAACTCTGCAGCCACACTTGTCACACTGCGGCCTTCCTCCAACTTCCCAATGATTCGACCTCGGGTAAAAGCATCCAGATGTCGTCTAACAGATTGATTATTCGCCATTTCTCGCTGAGGCAGCAACTCGGTGTGATTTTTAACTGCTATACGGCGTGTAATCTCTTTGCCAGAAATACTGATCTTACACCGACAACATGCTTTATACTACTCAGACACTCCCCCATTACGTCTACCTGCATATCTGCGCATGTGCTACCGTACATCACCTTACTTAATCTCCTGATTGGTCTTCCTGTCTGCTCTGCCTCTTCGTTCAGCTGATATGCTAATTTTTCAACTTCGTCCTTAATTTTTGCACACCAGTGTATGTATGTACAGACATCATTGAAAAAATTCCTTTTGGAAAAGAAGTCGTTTATTCTGTGCGTATATACAGATGTTATGCAAAATTATGCATGACTGTTTGCCAGGAAATGCTCCAACGGTTGAATGTTGATCTGAACTTTCTGGAGAAAAAGGTGACTGGTGATGAGACCTGGGTCTATGAGTATGATCCTGAGTCGAAGTGTCAAAGCTCAGAATAACACACTGCTTCCTCTCCGAAGCCCAAGAAAGCTCGCATGAGCAAGTCGCGTGTGAAGTGCCTGATTGTTTTTTTTTTATGGTGAAGGAGTGATTCAAAAGGGTTTGTTGCTCGTGGACAGACTGTCACAGGTGACATTTACGTTGGAGTGCTCCGCCGCTTGAGGGATCGAGTCCGACTGGCATCTGGATTCTGCACCCGCCAACGTTTGGGGCAAGTTCAATGTGACAACACTGACGCAGCCACCCTACAGTCCCGACTTGGCTCCAAGTGACTTCTTCCTCTTTCCCCGAATCAAGACAGTCCTAAAAGGAAAGCGATTCGACCCCATCCAACAGGCTTCGACGAGAGCCCTTCACAGCATGACACTCGAGGCCTTCCAGAAGGGCTACGAACAGTGGAAGGCACGCTGTGTTGATGCTGAAGTATTATATTTTGAAGAATTTTAGTCCGCTGTACTTAAATATCCAATAAATTTCTATTTTGAGGTAAGTCTTTAAACTTTTGATTCACACCCTGTATAATGATTGCATTACATTAAGATATATATATATTTCTTACTTTGAGCTAAGTGGGTCATCAGCAGAAAACTGAATATTGAACTGAGCTGCCCAATATTCAGCCGGGACCAATCCATTAAAATGGATTCCCACATGCCAGCTCTAACAACATTTTTCAGTCCCTTTTTCTGAAAATGTGTTTGGTTACTTGTGTGCTTTCCTAATTTATAACATTAAATATGGTGTATTATATTTTTAAAATTTATTTAACTTTATGATAACTCTTATGTATGCTCTAACTTTTAAACTCTTATGACAATGCATAGATCGGCAGAAATTTTAAATAAAACTATTAATTTTTTGGGAATATGACACAGGAGCTAAAAAAATTTTTTTTAGACAGTAATGGTCAAAAGTAGTTTTATTTAAATTTTCTGTTAAAGGTTGTTCTCAAATTTTGTATTTTCTTAATACAATATTTTGATTTACAGTATAAAATGGGTCTATAACCAGAACATTTTAAAGTTTTTAGTCACTCTCAGTTTTACTTGGGACAACAAATTAACAAATGATATTTATTAAAAAAAAATGTCATTGTAACTTTTTAAGTTTATTTTTTAACAGTTTTAAGATATTAATATATATTTATTTGGTTTAATAAAAAGATACAGTTTAATTTAAATATTACAAAAGCCTGATGAACAAAACTGAATTAAGAGTATTAATGAACTATTAAAGCAACAGATTAATAACATATTTAATTTTATAGCATACTTCATTTAAAATCTTTCCTAAAGCAGTTTTGAATAATGAGAATAAATATGGCACTAGTTTCAATTCACTCAGCATCATCAATTTAAAATTTTTTCTCTCACAGTTTTCCTCAAAGCAGCTGTTTTACATAATAGGAATAATTATGCCTATGAACCTATTGGCCTTTCTATACATCTAACTTTTTTAATCTATTTTAAAAGGGTCAACTTTGTGGAAAACTTCTGACTCGTATTCACGTTACACATGAGGAAAACCACAAAAACCTCATGCAGCCAGTATTTTCAATCCCTAAGAAGACTATTTGGGTTAAACTACAAATATTCTGTAGCCACTGATTAGCTTTCCTACATTACAGTTAACTTCTTATAGGAAATAAGTTTTCAATTTTTTTGAGGGGGTAAGATGTGTTGAACAAAGATACACACAACAAACTTTTTTATTAATATTTTATTACATCATATAAATAAATTAATGATACTGATATTACATAAATATATGAAAACTGCATAAAAAACTACCCTTGCATTACTAAGATAACAATTTTTTTAAAACATTTAATTTTAAGAATAATAAAATAAAAAGTTTTTAACAAGCTAAATTTTCAGGATATGACTTGCATTCTGACACTTCAAAGCAACTTTTTTGTAAATTATTACTGGAATTTATTATATATTTTTAGCTTTGGTATTATAATGCTAGTTAACAGAATTTCTCACTTATTCAGGGTCCATATCAACTCAAACACCTCCTAATTATTATCTATCATTTTGCTCATACTTGCATAAATAATTTTCTAAAATTGCATGAATTGAAATTTTCACTTACATCTAAACCCTTCAGAATCTGATAAGCAAAATAGCAAATAAACACACCACAGCTCATGCTGTCATCTTGGCTTGTGTGTTTAGGGAAGGAGATTCTCCAATTGTCAGTTACATTTAAAATATTGTTAAGTAAATTTTTCCATAATGAAATTAACATTCTGTCCAGAATGTACATCTAATGGATCATAAAACTCAAACTTCCTTTCTTGAATATAGGCAACTAATAAAACCCAATGGTTATTATTAATAAGAGCTGGAATGAAAACAAATTTAGCACACAATAGCTTATCTTTCGTCCATAAATTTTGATACAAAATGTCTGACTGAAATAAAACTGAATGGATACACATAGCAGCTAAAGAACTTGAATTTAAAAGAACATGATGTAAGAAAGCATCAATTACATTATCAGTGAGCCATCCAAGCTGAAAAGAATTCGAAGTTGCAGTTTTTAATAATAAAATTTCTTGTTTAGGAATAAAAGGATCTAAAGACTTTATATCTCTTAATGTAAGGGGAATGTTACCAACACGGATAATACACTTTCCAACATCATCAACATTATTAATCTTTGGAGTAAAAGATGCATATTTATTTGTATTACCTAACTAGTTACTATTAACACTTGATATGGTAGTAATACATTTATTTACAGGAGGCTTATATGCATTAGGCAAATATAACAAATCTTCTTTAATATTTTCTTTATCATAAGAGGAAGGAAAATCTGGAGTTTTGCGCTTAAGACCTTTCTTGCTTGTCGTTCGGAACAATGGTTGTTGCGTTATTTTTTGATTGGGAGCGATGCGGGGGGCACGGCAATTTATCAGAGAATTCTTGCAGATGCTTTAACTGTAACACACCTCTACAGTTAGACACCATATTTTTAAAATTTTTTGTAATATCTGATAAGAGCACTTTTTGAACTGTTGGATTAGGTAACATGCTCAGCAGTTCGGACATTAATGCTCCACAATTTTCTATTTTATTTTCAGTACAATTCGGCACAGAAAGTGTAGAAACTAATTTTGAATTAAATTTAATTTCAGGGTAATTATTTTCTATTCTAATGGGAGATTGACTCTTGATGGAAAGATTACATGCTTGTCTGCATGCAAAAGAATGAATTTTGTGTATATGCTTGCATAACCGGCTAACATCTCCACAATCACAAAAATACATATGACTACACAAATTTAAACATGGAAGTTTAATACAGTTTAAATAACAATGGTCAATTAAAGGGCACACTTCATCAATAAGTTTAACGCTATATTGAATACTGTTATTACTTTGAGATTTGATAACCCAAGAAGAAGTATCACATCTAATGATAGAATCATCAGGAATCTTCATTCCAGATTCATGTCTATTATGGTACAAAGGGGGATATACGCTTGGTTTGCAGTTAATTTTTATTTTATAATTATAGGCAATAAATATATCTTCTTCAATTTTCAAAAGCAAATTTATCAAATTATCTAACCTTCTATTAAATTTACGTTTAAAATACATAGTTTTTATTTTGTTATGGAAAGATTCACAATACATATTTGTATCTGTAAATGCATGAGGAAAATTCCTATATGACATAGCCCAGAGATTAGCCCTACAGTAATACTGTTCCTCAAAATATTTAATGAATGATGGTGCACGAGTCAAAAACTTCTGCAAGAAATTATCCATCATGATTGCAAATTCACCTGAATTATTTTCTTCCATTAATGTTGTCAAATTTAAATAAAGTTCTTTTCGTAGATCGCAATCTGGAACCATTGAAAACAATTTACGATGCCAAGTGTGGTGTACATGCCATTTACATAATAGATGCTTAATATCTGGACCAAAAACTTGATTAAAAGCAGAAAAACTAGTCTTATCATCATCTGTCATGATACAATTTACGCTTAGTTCAGGTACTGCACATTTGATGCTTAAAAACAAATGATACATTGTGTTATAATCTAAATGATTAGTGATGAAATGGGCTACAGGATATCCAGCACCAAATTCATCAGGAACAATTAAATTTATCAGAAAGAAATCATACTGATTTGTTTTATGAGTTGAATCTATGCAAAGAATTCTATTACAACCTTGGATCATCATGGCTTTTTGTTCTTCAGTCTGCAAACCAAGTGCAAAAGATTCATGAGCAAAAGGTAATTCATCCAGACCTTTAGGACCATACAATGTACATCTTCCCTGAGGTTTATAAAGAAGTACAGGATTGTACGATTCTTGCTTAAGTTTTTCAACCATAATGGCAACTGAAAGTGAATCATTACTATGGGAATGCAACGACGATGCTGACAATTTTGTATAATAATTTATACGCTTTCGTGTTATAAAAAACCTCTTTAACATCTAAGCTATCTCTATTTCCACGAGATCCCAGCCCATCTCTAATAATATCCTGAATTTGTTCAGTAGGGACACCTAACTGTGCATAGGCTTTAATCTGATCACGACAACTTTGACTTAATTGTTGAAATTTTGTATTTTCAAAGCACAACTCATGATTACGACTTGAATGAAAAATAACTTTAACGAGATTAGCTTCCTCCCACACAAAAATTCTTGAAGGACATTTCATATCCACAGGTATAGTGCCTTTAACATTTTTTCTGCTAGACAGCCTTGTTGTTTTAGTCTGCGTTACATAAAACTGACAACAGTAATAGTGATATGTTTTATTGGCTTTAATTTTCTTCCCACAACACTTTTTAAATGAACTGAACGAATTAGCACTTTCTCTTTCTAACCACAAATGAAAGTCTGATAAAGATTTAAAAGTATGCTCTAGTAAAGGCATATTTATATTATGGGCATCAACTAAATGTTTATTACATTGACTAATAAATCGAAAAGTCAGTTGACAATCAGGAAAGATGCATGGAACATAGTTATCTTTATTGTTCTCGCCATTACAAACTTTTATATGATTAAAAAACTTACCACGTGTCTCACAATTTTTGTTACATTTATTACAAATGAAATTTATTAAAGTTTTAATCTCATCAGAATCACGTTTACAAGAATTTCTTTTATGCTTGGAAAATGATTGCTTACATGAATAGGATTTCATACACAACCCACATGTTCTTGGATACTTCATCTGTTCAGTTACTGAACCAGATGAAGCTTTACATTTACTCTTATGATTATAAAAAGACTGCTTTGAAGCATAAGACCTCTTACAAACATCACAAAATTTTAAATACTTACTTTTAATCTCTTTTGTACAACTGCTAGTTCCTTCACGAGAATCTGTGTGAAACTTACCTACTATTGAACAGCTGGCATTTGCATTAGAACTTTCATTTACATCTCCAGAACCGCCAAACATAATAATTGCAGATGAAGGAAAATATTCATGATCAGCAACAGAGTTCCCTTTTTTTTGCCTTTTGCAGCTAAAATCAGATAATGAATATTATTCATTTGTGAGGGTGAATAAAAAAGCATTGACAAAAAATAATGATATTAGCCATTTTATAAAAATTCAAAGTCTTCTGACATTATCGTAAAAAATTATACGGGCATATGAAGATGTTACCATCTTTTGGTTATATTATACAGGGTGATTCAAAATGAGTTTAGTGATTACAAATGGCTATAATTATTTAACAGAAAAGATAAAAATTAATTATCCATAAGAATTACACAGAATGTAGAAGTAAGTTCAAACTTTTGTTTATGTACTTTATAAATGTTCTGTGCGACTCCCCTTTGGTAACATGGACAACATCTAAGGAGTAGTCAATTTCATGTCAAACAGTCTGAAGTATATTTGGAGTCACCACCACAAGTGCATTAGAAAAGCACATTCTAAGTTCTGGATGCAGATACATCCTGCGATTTCTTTCTATGGGATTATGTGTGAAAAACTTTGTGTATGTGCTTTGCTGAAAAACATTCCAGATCTAAGAATGCACATTTATAATGGATGACTGCTCAGATGTACGTGTTAAGAAAAGGAGTCACATAGAATATTTATAAAGTATGTAAGCAAAATTTTGAACTTTCTTTTACATACTGGGTAATATTTATAAACTCTTTTCAATTAAATAGATATACTGATTTGAAATCACTATACTATATTCATTCTGAATCACCCTGTATAATCAATATTAATTAAAAATTCACTCCTAATCAATTTATTTATTTATTTGCAGGTGTAAAAATTATATATATATTTTTAATTAAATTAATTTTTTGGACACACAAAAACTCCTTATCAGTATTTCACAAAGTTTCAGATTTGCTAAAATGAAAAAATTTCATATCTAAATGAAAAATACAAGATTAACATGATATAAATAATCATCTTCAAACTAACTTTATTTAATTGCGAGTTTAAAGACTCGCTACATTTTGGAGAACTCGAGCAGAATTTCTCACAAAATAAGAAAGATTACTTCAATGAAAAATTTACTAAATGTCCACATACATGGACAGGAAAATCTGAACCTAAGTATGATTTTCCACAATATTTAGAAAGCTAGGAACAAATCTCTTACCTCAACTGATCTGATTTTTCCACTTTTAGATTGGAATGGATCTGTTGAACAGGAATCCAGTGATTTGGAACTGGTGTGACACTTTTCCTTAAAAAAAGGAGGGAGGGAATTAAAAATATTTATTGACATAAAACAATTTCACCACTTTTGGTCAGAATTTTACTAAATTCCAGAAATGTTAGTTTTAAGCAATATTTTAATGAAAAACTGATCATACAATATAAATAGTCATGTTTGATCAAGCATAAGTAATTCATCACTTACCTTGTGTCTGATTCACAGCTTGAATTTCGAACATCGTTCTCAGGAGAAATTAGGCAACATTTTCTGTGCAAGATAAAGGATTATATTAGTAAATAATACAGATATGCAATGAATTTCGAGCATTGTTCTCAGGAGAAATTAGGCAACATTTTCTGTGCAAGATAAAGGATTATATTAGTAAATAATACAGATATGCAATGAAGAATAATAATTTAATGAAATGTACACGACTTGCAAATATAAATAATAATGTTTGATTAAGCATACAAGAATTTATGATTTACCTTGGATCCGTTTCATAGTTCAAAGATGCTACATGCTTTGGTGAAACCAGGCAAGGCTTCCTATGGAAGATAGAAGCATTATGTTTATGAGTAATTTCATATCCACATCCTAAGAAATTAATCTTGATAAAAGCTCTAATTTATTGTCCTTGGAAAGTTAGAAACAATATCTCACCTCAACTGACAACCCTGTTCTATATTTTGAGTGAAACGTTTTCGCCCTACATGAATCCAACCATTAGGATCTGGATGAGCAGATTTCCTGAAAGGTGGAGGAAACATATCTTGTTTACCGTTGCACAAAAAAAAAGAAATTTACTAATTCTTTAATAATTCATGAAATGTCAAAATTACTAAAAAGGAATAACTGTTATGAAAAATGGATGCCGCATAGGGTACAAATGATTACGATTCACCACTAATGAATTATCATTTACCTCAAGAAAGAAGACAATTCAGAATTTTCCTTTAGGTTCTTTTGAGTAACAGCAGCAGATGAACACTGTTGAAATTCTCTGTTGAAAAAATTAATTTATATGCAATGAAGTATAATAAATATCAATTTAGAGAAAAGAGTTCATGAACAAAAATTTATAGATTTTGTAGTACTTTATGGATTTGCATAAAAAAGCTACCTTGTTTGAAGTTGCTGTTCAGTTTCTGAAGGAGCTTTCACATTCAACTGTGATGGCAGTTTCCTGTGGAATAAAATAATTATGATTACACTTTTCTGCATTATTTTGTAAAAAAACAATTTTAGAGCATCAAAGCTAAAGTCAAGCTGTAAAATGCACTGCAAACTATTCTGTATGCTGTTTTTTCCCTTTATTCTGTAGCTTATATATGTTACTGTTTAAATACTATTTTTCCATAAGCAATTTATTAAATAGAACAGCCACACAGTTTTTGAGGTAAGTTTGACAGCTATGCAAAAATTAAGGCCATGGGGGGATGCGTTTTCTCCCCTCAGCAGTGATGATTCATTAGAAGATGCGGTTGATCTTTACATTATGGTAACTTGGCGATTTTTTGGCGAAAATTTGGCAACCAATAATTTGTAGTACTTTATGGATTTGCATAAAAAAGCTACCTTGTTTGAAGTTGCTGTTCAGTTTCTGAAGGAGCTTTTGGCAACCAACTCTCCTACAGCAACCCTCTATTTTTTTTTCCCCGCCGACATTTTGTCTTCACAAAGTAAAGACGTTTCTTTTCTTCTTATCTACTGAACACTTCTTCCAACAATCTACTAGCCGAATTACACTTATGCTATAAATTTTATCAAACAAAACTGCTTAATCATGACAAATATTCACTGCAAAATTGGGAAAAAGTGCACAATACCATACTCCTTACGCGTTTTTCAAAATAACACATACACATAAACCATGTACACGCCGACTTATTTTTACTTAAAAAAACATCCCAGAAGTGCACAAAAATGGCATTGTGCACACTCTTCACTATATCCATGTACACTGCTTTTTTCTCATAAATTAGAAAAATTTCACAAAAATACATGACAATTTTCTCAATCTTTAAACCCGGTAAAAAGAACATATATGAAATTACCTGATCGCGAAAAAGTATTACCCTTTACAAATATGAACATTTTCCACATATAAAATAAATAAAATATCCAAAAACTTTTACCTCTAAATCATCTATTACATTATACACGTCACCAACGAATTCATACCGCAAGCATTACAAATACTTAGTATCAAATATTTAAATTATTTCCATGCACGTTTATTTCAACTTAAACGTATACCAAATTCCTACAAACATAAAATTCACAAAATAACTATCATTTCATTAAAATATAATTAAATTCAAAAACACTACTTAAAATATAAATGAGCACATACATTAAATTAATAAAAATTACCTTACAATCCTAATTACTTTAAACTAAATCATTGCTAATAACAATTTTCCCAATAATACCAAATTCCTTTACTTCCACCTTACATTTAGAACAATGCATAAAAATAATATCCTCAAATAATTAAAAATACTAACTTACCTAATCTTCTTCAGAATCTTGATTACGTGGCGGATACACTTTTCTAATTCATTCAATAAAATTATTGAAAGATTTTTTCTGCGAATTTTTCCTCCATACTTCCTCCGCTAAATAAAAAGCAAACTTCTCTTTATCACAATGCTTAAATACCCATTTCGAATTCACTTAGGGCCATGAGATCCAAAAATTACACAACACTGTTTCACACAACACAGAATAAAGCTAAATACAAAATTTCCACATTTTTCCCGATTTCCCCCCCTTTTCCGATTAAAGAACCGTAATTCGTCCATTAATATCACATGACATATCCCACGATCTCTCATTTCCCTCACGCAAAATAATGCGTAATCGGAACTGAGTACTGCTCACATTATTACCAACGTCCCAGGTAGTAACCTTTATCGCCTCCAAAATGTCGCCAAACTACCAGTTACCATATTGTAAAGATCAACCGAAGAT